TCCTCCTCCTCCTCCTCCTCCTCCTCCTCCTCCTCCTCCTCCTCCTCCTCCTCCTCCTCCCTCCCTTTTTTCAAACTGGGTCGTCGCTTACGCAGACGGGGCGCCCAACGTCGCACCTGACCAGTCGGGCCGAACCGAACCGGAGCGGCCACTCAACCGAACCGAACCGGTCGGACCCAACCGCGCGAAAACCGGAACCGAACCGAACCGGCGGCAGGCCCAAGCCGAACCGGCCCGAAACCGGACCGATGCCAAACCGAACCGGCCAAGCAAAACCGACCCGGCTGCAGAACCGGACCGAACCGAACCGAGCCGATCCCTTCATGTGAAAAGGAGGAGGAAGACGAAGAAGAAGAAGAAGAGGAAGAGGAAGGGGACAAAGGAGGAAGAAAAAGAAGACTAATAATAATAATAATAATAATAATAATAATAATAATACGAATAATAATACTAATAATAATAATAATAATAATAGTAATAATAGTAGTAATAATAATTATAAGAATAATAATAATAATAATAATAATAAGAAGAAGAAGAAGAAGAATAGAAAGAGAAGCGAGAGATGGTTTGTTGCCTACAACGTGCCCCTTGCTGCACATGGCACGATGAGCTCTTATGCACAGCAGAAAGCTGAGAACACCGTTCAGGGAGAAGGATGGAGACTCTCAGAGGCTGCTCTGTGGGAATGTAGGGCCTCCTCGGGAGCGCTAGGAGGATCAGTGAAGTCTCTGAGGGTCTACCAGGATGTATGTCGAATTCTAGAGGAGGGGTAGGGGAGGGGAAGGAGGAGGCAGGAGGGAGGATCTTGCAGGATCTTGGAGGTGACCCTGGAGGTCCACAGAGGAGGCTCAAGGATGATCTACGGCAGGGATGGGCTCAGGGCTGAGGGGATGATCTGGCGCGTCGGGGGGGGGCCCTGCGGGACTCCGCAATGGGAGGAAAAGGGGGCACGAGAACACGATGCACGCCAGTCCGTGGGCAGAGAAGCAGGGAAAAGACAGCCCAACCGATCAGAAGACTTGCCTTAAGTCGGGCCTGTCCCCCCTACAGGGGGATTTTCGACGAACAATAAAAAAATACCCCAAAAATAATCCCAAAATAGTCTGGGAACTTGTTGTAAAATATTTTGTCTACCTTTTTGGTGTATTGTTGGGGCACTTAATATTTTTCGCCAAGAACTCCCCTGTAGGGGGATAGGCCCGACCTAAGGCTTGCCGTGGCTTGGACGTCCGCTCCCCGTGCATGTTTCGGCGTCGTGCGCGACGTTTTTCGCGAGATGATCCAGGATGCTCCTCGATGGTCCTCGCCGAGAAAAAAACAAACACACACGTCCGGGCGAGGCCAGGAGGTGCCAGAGGGCGAAGCGGCGGGCGCGCGCGCCCCCGCGGGGCGACTCCCGCCCGTCGGACTTCCCAACGGCGACGGTCCAGGGCGGGGCGAGGCAAGTAACCATCCTTGAACCTGCGATTGTGGATGCCATTGACAATGGACACCCTAACAACCCTACCCTTTGATTAAACATGTGCTTTAAATATTTGAAAAAAATAGTGCACAAAAACTGAAACACGTGTTTTACATGGTCCAGACAATGTTTGAAAACATCTGGAAACTCTTTGGCAACATGCTTCCTCTCCATTGCCTTTCGTCCACACACCTGCGGTAGGTTCCTGCGGCGTCGGCGCGCGCAGAACTTTTGGAAACCGCGTCGATCGTTCAGCCTTGAATCGATCGCGGCCCCGATTGCTCACGGTCCAACTCCGTCGGGTCCTGTGGCGACACCGTGTCCCTCCGTGCTCACGCGTCACTCTGTCGTGCGGAGTCCAACCTTGATCGCCCTCGCCGGTGTCGCCGGCGCACCATCGCCAGATGAACACACCGCATCCCGATCCCTAAGACGGGCACTCCAAAAAGCGAGGATAATCTCAGGGATGCGCCCTCAGAATCTGAGGGATTCCTTGAGATCGGCATCGAGATGGGGCGATGCGAATCACAGGGATAGGGATCTGTTCCAGGCTGGCAGGCCAAGGAGAGAGAGGGGGAAGGGAGGAAGGCCGCGAGGGCCCTCTCATCTGACGCTCCCTCCCCGCCCCCCTCCAGCCGCAGGGGCAGGGAGGCGGCGGGGGGGCGGGTGGGAGGGGCAGGACAGACCGGCCAGCAGGCCGAGGAGGAGGGCACCTCGCGCGCTTCTCGAAAGGGCAGCGCGCAGGAGAGGGGGAGAAGTCGGCTGCGCACCGCAGGTCCGCTGCACACCGAGGGCACGTGCGCCTCTCGACGCCCCTTGCCGCTCGACGTAGCACGCCCAGCAGAGGAGCCAGGAGGAGGAGGATCGAAGTTCTCCGGGGCAACTTCAGGGGGGGACTGGTTCAGGGGAGAGAAGCATCGAGCTGGAATCGGCGATAGATCGGCGATGAGCCCCGATGACGAATTCGGGCGAGTTCCTGAGCGGGGAAGGCTATCGGGAACCTATCGGCGACGAGTGGGCGATTGGAAGTCGGTGCATCCCCCCCACCCTGAGGCTATCCCTCCCGAACGTCGCCCCTCAGGCTCGGAGATGCTCGACGATCGATTTTGCAAAGCGTTTCTGAGCTCTTATGAGCCTCCAAACTTGTCCGGAGGCCTAGACCTCCTGGGGCCGCCAGGAGGCATCATCATCATCATCATCATCATCATCATCATCATCATCATCATCAGCATCATCATCATCATCAGCATCAGCATCAGCATCAGCATCAGCATCAGCATCAGCATCATCATCATCATCATCATCATCATCATCATCATCATCATCAACATCATCGTCATCATCATCATCATCATGATCATCGTCAGCATCATCAGCATCATCATCATCATCGTCATCATCATCAGCAGCAGCATCATCATCATCATCAGCAGCAGCATCATCCTCACCAGCATCATCATCATCATCAGCATCATCAGCACCATCAGCATCAGCATTAGCATCAGCATCATCATCATCATCATCATCATCATCATCATCATCATCATCATAATCATAAGCATAATCAGCATCACCATCATCATCATCATCAGCAGCAGCAGCATCCTCGTCGTCGACATCCTCATCACCATCATCATCATCATCATCAGCATCCTCATCATCATCATCGTCATCATCAGCAGCATCCTCGTCATCCTCATCATAATCATCATCATCATCAACGACAGCAGCACCAGCATCAGTCTCGCAACAAACAACATCATCGGCATCACCATCACCACCACCACAAACACCACTATTGTAGTCATCAGCAGCAGCAGCAGCAGCGGCATCATTATCATAATCATCAGTATCATCATACTGGCCATCGTCGTCGCAATCATCACCATCCTTATAATCGTCGCCGCCATCGTCGTCGTCGTCGTCGCCAACGTGATCAACATGATTGTCATCATCTGCATCAACATCACCCTCATGATCGTCATCACCATCACCACAACACGCCCCACCACCATCAGCATAATCGTCGACACATCATCATCACAGCTGTCATTCATTCTGTCGTTCACCGAGTCATTCAGTCAGTCATGCATTAATCCCACCAGCCCTCTGGGCGTCGGTGGTTTAGAGAGTTTCCTCTTCCACCCCTCCTTTTTCCCCTTCGGGGAGGGGTTTACCCCTCCCCCTACCCCCTCCCCTGGACCTGGACAGGGGGTTCCGCGAGGTGTCGGAGCGTCCAAAACGGCCTCGGCGAGGAAGCCAAAATCATTGGTTTTACTGAGGTTGTGGCCCCATGTTGGCCTCCTGAGGGGGGGGGAGGGGGGGGGGCCTAATTGAAGCTCCCCTCTTGTTTGAGCGATCTCCTCCAAAATGGCCCAAGAAGCGCCCAGGAGGCCCCAAGGGGTCCCAAGATGGCTCCAAGATGGCCCCAAGAGGCCCCCAAGAGGCCCCCAGGAGACACCCAAAAGGATCCCAAGCGGCCCAAAGAGGCCCCCCCGGAGGCACCCAAGACGCCGAAGAGCCCCCCACGACCGCCAAGAGATCCCCAAGACGCCCCTGGACGCCCAAGAGATACCCCAGGAGGCTCCGAGAAGCATCCAAGAGACCTCTGGCCCTTTTGCTTGCTCTCCTCCTCCTCCTCCTTCCTCCTCCTATCCCTTCTCATCCTCCTCCTCCCCCTCCGCCTCCTTCTCCTCCTCATCCTCTTCATCCTCATTCTCCCTA